GAGGGGGGGGGGGGGGTCTAGGAACAGTCTATTTAGTATTTCAACTCCCGGGAATTAAACAGGAAAAGTGTCAGCCTGTGGATGATGAGTGGAAATGCGGAGGGACTGGATCCTCTCATTCGTTTGATGTGTCATATGGGGTTTCATTTAATTACGGGTTGACCGTGAGTGAAAGGATTGAAATTGGAGGGAAAAATCAAGAGGCGGAAGATTTTATTTTTTAATATTGGAATGGCGGTTGGAGGTGCCGGGGGGGTGCAGCAGTTTCTGACTTTGAGGTGGATGGAATTTAGTTATTGATGGGGACAATATGAATGGCGATTGAATTGTATTGGTTTTTCCAAAAGGAATATTTTTCGGGGAGAACGATTTTTTTATGAATTGAGAAGTGCATGCAGAGAAAAGTTGGATAAAAATTGTCCAGAAAATCGTGGCTAATTTTAGTGTGCGAAAGGTAATCGTGGAGTGAAATGTAATTCAATGAAAAACTATAGAATGCAAAAATTATGCTTGATAATGCACATTTTGAAGTAAATAATAGTTTCTTAGATAGGTAATTACAAGCCCTGATTCCCAAGCAGACGAGAATAAATGAATTGCCCTGATGAGTGAGATTTCGCAGTCGAAACGTTGGTAAAAGTCATTTTTTTCTCAGTGTATTCGTCTCAGAGTGAAGTGTAGATTCTAGAAAATCAGGAAACATTCTTGAAAATCAAAATCATTTTCACTCCGTGCGTCCCCTAGCGAAACTTATTCAATAAACAATTAAAACAAAATATTCTCTGGACCATCTGAATGCAGTGAACACAGTGGTGAGATCTACTAAATTTCCTCGGGGGGTCGTATCGTTATTGAATTCACTGAGGGACATTCGGGCGAGACTATAGAGACCGTGTGCCGGAAGGAAATGGGCTTTTACGGGTTGAGAATCCGTTAATTACGTCGGGACTGAATTGAGAGACCGAGATTCTGACATTTGAACTGTCTGCCTCTGTATTTTCCTCCACTTGTTTAGCATGCATCCAAAATCTTCCGGATGGTGAGGCATCATAAATATGCATCATCCCCTCTGCCGAGGGTACATGGCACCATATTGCCACGGGAAAAAAGCGCTCAGTTACTTTACTTTGATACCAAACACGTGGGGGCGGGAGGGGGATGCTTCTGGGATGGCTAATTTTCCATTGGAAATGAGATCTGGTGGCCTTGAGTGTCCATCACCACGTCGTAATAACGATCATTGACGTTTCACTACCACATTCGCGGGGAGATGTTTACTCGGCCCACCAAGAATGTCACTGACGACCGCCTTGCTATTGTGGGTGAACGCACAAATGCGTTTATAATATTCACCCCGTGTACACAGAGGGAGGGGTTGATGGCGGGTAGCGAGGGATCGAATCCACTCTGGAAATACATAATGATGATAGGGAAAAAGGAATCGTGAACTCGGGAAATAGAGAGAAATGTTGATAAATAATTTTTACGTGTTATCGATTGGTGGGTGAAAGTGTGGTTTAAAATGCGAGAAATCGACGCTGCGGGACATTTTTTTGTAGGATGATTTTTTCAAAATTTTGGGCTATTTGGGCAGAGCTTAATCACTGTTAATTTTCTTTTTTCATTTTCATTTTATTTCATACAGACCCAACAGCGCACCGAAGCATATTGCTAATTTATTGGGAAAAATAACTATGCTATATGCAGTACAAGAGCAATTGCCCACGTATTTTGTTTTTCTGTTTTTTTTTTTTCATTCAAAAGACGCAAAATCATAAAATTGCTGTATCTCATAATAGTCCAGGCTAATTACCACAATTTATGCAGCATCCAACAAATTCCAATAATTCCCCTCATTTCCCCAGAGCGATCTAAACCTGCGACATTCTCCGATAAATCTCCTGTTGAATTTCTAAAAAAATATAATTATCCATCGCATTACCCAACACAGCAAAATTAATTGAAAATTACCATAAACGCCAGCAACAATCCATCGAACATAACAGCACACGAGTCGCGTCGGTAATACTCTCGTGAATTAGAATGTTGTTCACACACTGTTCAGCCCAGTGTTTATCACAACTACCTACATTGATACCGAATATGTGTGCGCGCGCGCCGAGAGAGGCTAATCGCATCGGGTTGTCGGAGCGCGGCGCATCGGACGCCTTTGAATGCTCAGTCCCGTCGAGGACCCTTGCAAGAGGGTTGCGTTTCCGCGTTCGTCCACCACTTACCCCAGACCATTCACATTTTTTACAACACGCGAACTGCATTCCTCTTCCCACTCACTGGGAATTTCGTGACTAGACACTACTACGAGCGTTCATTGACTCATCCTGTGCGTTTAAATGCTGTTTTTAATATTATTCGCAGCGCGTAATTTGTGCTAATGATAAATATCTGTGGAAGTGATACTTTTTTCGTAATTACACATCGGAATTAATTTGGTGGTGATGAAAAAATTTGTTGTGGTGATCAGGACTTGGCATTCGATTGAAAATGTTCATACCCTTTGAATCCAGATCTTTAAGGATATCCAAGTATCTTTCACTGTTTCATTATTTTTTAAACATTCGATGATTATAACTAAATAATTGAAATTGTTTAAATTTTCGGAAACTTAATTTTTTAAGAATGAAATCGATTTCTGGTAAAATTCTGAATATGAATAAATTCGTTGCGATTCTGAATAAATGATTTTTGTGATGAAAAATTCATTGTTTTGAAGAGCGGAGAAAATATCGAGATTTAAATTCAGGGCTGCAAAGTTTAAATAATAAAATCAATGTGAAATGTCGGATCTGTATACAGCAATAAATAAATAAATGAATAAATGGGGCTTAAGCATTTCACTGGAGAAAAAATAGCCAAAGTACTTGGATATCCTTAAGTAGAGGATTCCGCATAATTCAGACGACATCAATAAACTTCTCTGCACCATAAAAATCAGTGAAAGTCATACATTTTCAAAAACTATCCATTGAAATAACTCCAATGACAATAAAACAATGTATCAACGATGTCGTGTCCATCAGGTCATAAACTTCCAAGTGTTCATTCCCCCCAAACCGGTACAAAACCCAAATCAAGGCTCGCGAAATTAGCTTCATCAAAGTTCTCCCCGAAGAAGCACCAATCCCCTGCATCTGGTGTGGAGACATCTTCCGGTCCAGCGACTCAGACGACTACCCAAAATCCAGAGGCTTCAAGCGGAAGATCCCCCAGCAGATTGTCGCCCAGACGCTACCATCACTCCGACGACATCCAGAGACAAATCCTCCGTCAAAGTCCAGGATCGTCCCCCAAACGTTCACCGAGACGTCAGCAGGCACCTCCGACCCTAGGAATCGAGGAGGACTACGAGATGGGTCTGGTGTACGAGCCAAGTCCACTGACCCTGACTGACGAGCCAGTGATGTCATTCCTGGAGTTTGAGTCGCTCTACAATCTCGAGAAGGAGTTGGGCCAGGCCAGAAGGGTGACAATCGCCGAGTTGGATGACAAGTGCATATTTGGCGGTTGGTTTGGCACGCGAAGAGGTGTGTACACGGAATTACCAGAGCCCTGCAGGAATTTCGAGTGGATGTCGAGGGGTTCGTGTACAGCACAACCCACTCAGGTGCCCACCGAGGGATTCAGCTTTGCTCCCGGATGGTCAATAAATGCTCAACACTTCTATCAGTGGCATCAGCGGGGAAAGAGCATACAACAGGTGCGTCTTGATGCCAACTTCAGTGAGACATGCATTCTAGAGCTTCTAGTTGTCTTACTCGCGGATTTTTCCTTCAAAGTTATACTTCATTCATTTTTTAGCAATGGTCGATCAAAAATACTGGTGAAAGGTATTTTTTCCGAGAATGATAGTTAGGGTTTTTGCGGCCTTCTGGTCCTGCAATGATAGTGATTTTGGTGACTTGTATTTCAAGACAGTATGATATTATAATACGACAGGATAATATTATGTCTTGTCTGTCAAACGTCTTGTTTTTCGCCATGAAAAAAGTATTATCCAAGACACTCGAAATTTTAGTCATCACGAAATCAGTCAATAAGACACATTTTGTGTCCAATGTCTTAAATTGAGACATCTTCAAAACACTAGATTTTACAGTGCCCTTTCCCGGATATTTTTTGGAGTAATGGCCCTGTCAGCCACACACTTCCACTCCCACTCCTTCTCGCATTTATTTTTTCCGTTGATTTTCCATTGAAATTCAAACAACAGTTGGGGAATTCTGTGCGTCGCTCTGGGGCCTGTGAAACCGAGCTATGAGTTATATGTATTCGTGTGTGGAGCCCACGGCGTTGGAATTAATCGGAAAACCGGAAGCAATTTGGGATATCTCTTTCCCGGTGCCTATCGTGCCCACTAGCCCGTATTAAAGCATCGATGAGTACTCGATAGATGTTCAGTCATCCACTTTATCCTCGTATATTACTTGTTGACGGTTTTTTTCGCTTGGGTTTTAGTTGATCAGTTCGCGTTTTAGTCTGGAGGTGATAAAATTCACGAGTGGACTCTGGATTTTTTTGGACAATGTATACGCTGATATAATATTTGATTATGGAGGGAACATCGACGAAAAATTGCGAGAAAAATTCAACGAAAAGAAATGTTACAAAGGGGACAATTTAGCCTTTACCTCACATATTTTTTTTTATTTCAAATAAAAAATCCTCGAATGTAATTTCGTCATCAATTTTGTACACAGCTTAGTATTTTTTTTTCAGTGGAATATTGAATTCGGCAATTTAGAGGAGAAAAACATCACGGAATTTCAAATTCCACTAGCAGCAAAAGAAATTAAATTACGAAATTCTTTGAAATTTCCGTGGAACTGTCTGACTTGGTAAATATTTCCAACGACATTCCGTAAATTTCAAACAGATCGAAATTGTGGCTGAAATTTCTTGGGTTCTTTTTTAATTGAAGGGATGGGAAAAATCATGGTTAATAATAACATTTCTGGTATCAAATAGTGATAATAATACCTCAGGCGTATACATTTCCAGTTCCTGCCAAAGCGCAAACATTTTCATGGTGAATGGATTCTCAAAGATTCTAGGGGTGCATACGGCGGCATGAAGGGGAGTCTTGCGAGGTGCAGAAAGGGCGAGTCCATCAAATATGTGCCTGAGGGTGTCAAGATACTTTGATCAACCCTCAGTCTGCCCTCAGGATTTAACTCGAGTCTTTTCCGCGTCGAGCAACCGTGTTTACTTGGAGGGATGCTACCAGCATCTTTTGCGAGGGTTTTCTTTGAAATATAGAAAATATTGAGGCATGATTGGAGACACGGGAACGGGAATTTTTCATTTATTTTCGATGGGGATATCGACTTCTATGCAGGTGTATTTTATTGAGGCGAAGAACGTCTTAGGAGAATGCGAGAAAAAAAATGAAGTGTTCCATTGTTCGGGTGAAAAACAAATAATTCAACTAGACTGTTGAAAAAAATTGGCTGAATTATCCGGAAAAATACTTTGAATTCAATTTAATGGGAAAAAGTGAATAAAAATTCCAGTCCCATTTTTTTGGGGCAGGAAGACGGAAATTCCACCATTTACATGAATTTTCAAGCGAAAATGAATATTCACTGCCACGTTCCGTTGAATTTTCTCAAAATTCCTTTAAAATTATGAATTTTCAACGCAAAAATTTCCTGAAATTTAAGTAGAAATGTAAAATTTCTGGCGGAATATTGAACTCCAGAAGCTGTTACTGAAAACCAAGAACTTGTTCTCTCTATGGAGAAGGAAGATTGAACGAGAAAAATGTGATTGAAAAGTTTATTATGACGAGTGATTTAGTCCCGGGTTTCCGGTCCATCAGACAAGGCAATATCGAATGTCCAACAGCCAAAAGTATTAATTTAACTCTCAACCCCCACTGCAGGTTCCACCCCCACATCTGAAATAACAACGGGAAAAGTGCGTGTCTATGGGGAGGCGTGATAGCCACCAGTAACCAACGATGCAGTTGTTGAAGGGAAAAACGCAGAGAGCGTGAGTCATGCGTCGACATGAGAATGAAGCACGGACGATTCCATTAGAGATCTATTTGGTGCAGTAAGGATACCTAGAGATCTAAACTCACTCCCCCGGTTCCCCTCTTGTCTCGTACTTGGGGTAGTCCCTCATCTCGTGCCTTCGGAAAACGACCCTCTAACAACGCGAAAAGTCTCCCTGCGTGCTGTTACCTAAATCGGTTACTCACCAATTGCCAATTTGGAGCCCCGCGAAAATTGCTTGGGCGAGACTTGCGATCGTGTAACTAACGTTGAAGGGAGGGGTTTATAACTCAGTGTGTATTACTCTTGTATTTCATTTGTCGGTAGCGAGAGGATGACAAAGTTTTTAATTTGAAATTTTTGGTTATTGACAAGCGGGAGAGATTGACAAATCATGAAAGTTATTTTCCGCGGTCGAATGATTTATTTCGAGGGAGACTTGAGGGTGTTTACATGATCGTTACGAAGTCAACGAGAGTCACATCTTTTTTAGTCGAAAATGATTTGAGAATTCAATAGGGGAGGGCAGGGTAAAGCTTAACATAAAATAATTATTATGGTTGTTTGAACGTGCGTCCAATTATTGATTTGTTAATTTGATTATTCTGTTATTTTTACGTATAACACGATAAAATTTCCGAAATTTCGCATGGCAAATTCAGATGAAAATTTTCAACAGTGCAGTATTTTTCATGTTTATTCCCACAATAAATGACAAATAGTTGATAAAATTATTATGAAAAAAATCATTTAATTGTGATTAGGGGGTCCAGTGTATCTGCCCCTCCCCTAGGTATTCCATGTTAATTGAGTCCAATAGGCCATTCATCCCTCTTTTTTTGGGACACGTGACACATGCCAGTTGTCAACAACTGTAGCTTATTCTTCATATCGTATTCTGGATTTACTTTGTGGGAGATATGGCTGTATCTGCTCCTCAACATCGAATGTAAACAAATTTTTTTTTTGTCGAAGGAAAAATAATATTGACTGTTTCATGAGTGCTTACGGTTCATTGTGAAGCGAGCTCCGAAAAATTCATGTTGGGGAGATTACATGATAGCTCTCCTCACGATATTGCCGATGTTAGACGCTTGCAGCACACGAATTATTTCTTCACTGTTAAAAATTAAAAAATTCCCGAAAAAATCAATGGAAAATAAGTTTTAGTTGAATTATTCCAAGAAAATTAGCAAAATATTTTCAAATAAACAATTATTTTCCCTCTCAGCGCTGAAATATAATAATTCGCTACGAAATTTACCTCGAAAGCCAAAAGATTTTCCCCCCATTCTTCAGACAAAATTCCTTGTTGACTTTGTCCGTTGAAATTAGTCTTTTTTCCGAATTCTCTCGGCTCGTAGAAAGATATCCACGCGTGATTGCACGCCCCCTCGGACCCTCTCTCTTTTTTTCGATTGCCCGAGGGAAGACAGGGCGCATCGTGTGTGTAAGGAAAAAGAGAATCGAACGAGTCAAGTGAAGAGCAGAAGGCCCGAACCCCAAGCGAAATGTCAGAGCTCGTTAGAACACTGCGATACCAAATTTGTTCCTCCTCTCGCCCTTTTGTAAACTAACCAATAGGCTGGGCTCATATTGGACTGAGATATAGTACGTGAGCTGGAAGAATTAGAGCAATTTCACTGGCATTCCAACCAAGATTGCACAAGTCCTCTTGATGCTAATGCACAATTAAGCATTTGAAGATTTTTTCCGACGCATGACAAAATTAAACAGAAAAACCTAATGTTTTTTTAAAGAAATTGTATTGAGTTTCTATTGAAACTTTATGAGAATTCTCTTAAAGTTTTATTTATTTATTTCATTAAAAAATTAATTAATTCATTTATGTTATTTTAAAAAGTCAATAGAGCAAATTCTTCCATTTTTTTCCGCTGTATTTTTATTTGTTTCTAAAATCTTATTCATTGAGCATAGGAATTAGAACATGAGCAAATTATTTATTGTAATATGAACATTCAACAGCTGATAAATTGGGACATGTAATTCTCATCGGTCGTATTCCTTTTTTCAATGAGAATGAGTATAACCAATTAATTGAAAAAAATACGCAATATGTGTCTCCCCCTCGCCCTATTCATTTGCAGACAATTCTGCTCCTCTTGTCGCTCATTGAGAGTTTAAAGAAGTACATTGTGACAGTTTGATGTGCAGGAAATATAACGAGACTTTACAACTCACCAGTTCTTGCTCATCGAGTGATTTATGCGTGTTTTTAATTCAAAATGCAAAGACAATGCGCGTGAGCGTGTCGCTTTTGTAGCTGTGGGTCCACGCCCTCGATGCGCTGGCAGCTATAAGGATTGACGCGAGATGTGCCCACACGTGGGTTTAGGTGAAAGGAACACCAAGTGGGTAGTCCATTGTTGGTTTTTTTCCAGATTTGAAAACAATGTTTATGGGTTTTTTCTAGGGTTTAATTTGTGAGGTCGTGGGGAAGGCGAGAGGGGGAATTAATTTCGGATTTTTGTGGGGTGTGGAGTGGGTGGGCGTGAAGGTTGGAGGTGGGCTCGGTGAGGAAGAAGGGGGATTAGAACATTTGCAGAGATTATTTTGCGAATTTGTCGTGGAGTGATGAGTTTAGAATACAGAAAATTTTTTTTTTTTAATTTTTAGGAATCTATCATGACATTTCAGTCATAAAAATCACTGATAATCCGGCATAATTTATAATAGACTC